ACATGATATTTGATTTCATACACAATTCTGTTTGCATTTTAAAAATGATATTTTCTCCTGTTAACTTATTCTTTTAAACCATCTATAAAATTTATGTAAGGTTTTTGAAGTTTTGGTTACTGTGATATATACAGTCTTACAAATGGATGCTTGAAAATATCTCAACATTCAGATTGACATGTTTGTGAATAGGATTGAACAATCACATTTATTTGGCCTCACTATTTTGGACAATGTGTAAATATGCATAGTATTACTCTTCACTAACCCTCTGTGTACCAATTCAATACAAAAACATGCATGCTTTACTGAGAAGAAGTTCCCTTGGATGCAAAATTTAGCACAAACATCCCTAATATTGCTATTGCCAGATGTACTTTTTAGCAGATATGTCATGGATTTGCTGTGACCCCAATATGTGTGACACCACGTTTATTTATATTTATGGATTGATACGTTGATGTGTAATAGTGCCATTTACCTACCTTACTTTGTAGATCACTTAAATTTAAAATAAATAAATAAAGCAGAAAAGTTGATTCTCAGAATTAAAGAAAACGTGTTTGGACACTGGCCAATCTTTTGGGTGTAAGATTAAACATAATTTTTTTGTCTGCACGTTAAGTCTTTGCTGATGTCATTTATTTGGGATGGGTATCAGTTTCCCATTCCACAAAACCGTTCCCTAATTCCCAGGCACGTTCCTTTGCTGAGAGGCATGACTGAATGGCACATACTCCTCTGGCATCATAAAATAACAAAGAGGACATCAAAAGCTTCAGGACAATGCATTCCGTCCCCTGGGCGTCATTGCTGCTCTGTGCCATTACTGCCACCCAGACAGCTTAATGAACACTTAGCATGAGATGATGGAAGTGTAAGGTCTGCTGGAGATTTCAATTTAAAACTGTGCCATATCAGATCTGCCCATCACTGTGGCTGTTGGCATTTTACATGGTCGTCTGTTAGTTCCTTGAGGAGCCAATGAGGAAATGAATGCAGACTGATGAGATTTTAATGATTTTTTGTCCGCAGTACAAGAAATCTGCCATAGAATGTCTGTATAAGTAAAGCTGTCAATCACCTCTCTATTTGATAACATTTGATTTCAAAGCTTAAATCCCTGATATTCTACCAAGTGCCAATAAACACATTGAACATTTATATTGGGAAAGTGTAGTTTATGAGATATATTGATAATCTGGCACAAGAAAACCAATCATTTTTACTTGTGTTTCATCCTCTACTGTTATTCTTTGTTTTGTATTGGTATTCATTAACGCATACCTCCCTATTACGAAAGTACAGTCCATATTCTGTCCCTCTTTTTCTGTTCTAACCTTTTTTCTAGGATCTCCAAATTGTTGGTGTGTCTGAGTGTATACCAGAGATCCACAGCAATAAAGTGTTAGTCTGTGTAAATAACATATATTGTTCTAAATTACATTTTAGTCACCTACCATTTTCCATATGTTTTTTAATAGTGGTGTTGCATAGTTCTACAGATCAGTCAATCACAATCATAAACACAAAGGAAAATCCCAAAAAGAATCCTGGAGATAGACCAGGATTCCTTTTGGACCCATGGCAAGTGGCTGTTTAGACCAATAACAGATAGCCTCAGAGAGTTAAACGTATGATGGAATGCTGCGATAGTGTGGGGTAGTTTTTACAGTGTGCTATATTTATGTGCCACAGTTAGAAATCCAGCAGGCTGTGGCTCAGGGCTTGAACTTTCAGTCCATCAGTTTGCAATTTCCCTGCATAAAATGATTTGTTTTATTACTGCTGGGATCCCAGAAGCCAAAAAAATGGCTGACAATCTGCCAGTCTTGCCCTTTGCATTGTTTTGATGCATTGATGCAGTTGTTAGTGACAGAATACAAGAAATCAGTAACAGGGATGCTTGCTACCATAAATATAAAAAGAGCATCGTTACTTAGGGTGCTTAAAGTGTCTTTTTTCACAGTGTATGATCATGACTTACATATATTGCAGGATCATACTTTGAAACCATGCAGAAACTGTGGTGTGTGCTATTCAAATAGCTTGTCCTATAGCGCATGGAGCCACCCTCTACACTATAGGTCAGTGATGATGGCTAACCTTGACACCATAAATTGTTTCTGGACTACATTTCCCATGATGCTCAGCTAGCTTTTAGACTCTAAAAGCTAGCTGAGCATCATGGGAAATGAAGTCCAGAAACAATTTATGGTGTCAAGGTTAGCTATCACTGCTATAGGTCATAACGTTTTGGAAGATTAATCAACTGCAGAACCACATGTTTCCAAAGAAAAGATGCATAATGGTTTTTCACGCTATGTTAAAACCAGCATGTGGTTGATAAAGTCTGCTATTTAGAACTGTTTCAAATGGGGTTCCTTGGATCCAGACATACAGTAGGTCGCAAGTAGTTTCTATGATGTTCGGTACACCTGGGTACTTTTTAGTCATTACTCAAGCATGTCTCTGTTTCCTGACCTGGGGTTTCAGAGTCACCCTACCCGTGGTTGCTTACTGTGTAATTAACAGCTCATGTTATTTATCAACAGGGCCCACTCTGTCTAATATGTGAAATGACCATACCACGTGCATTTAATCTCCACTAACTCATTGTGGAAACTAGACACAGCTCCATTCCCAAAGCAAACTGCAGAAATCGAGAGGATTTGGCTCTGCTCTCCTACATGAATCGTTGAGATATACAATTAACTAGATGATTCCAGAAGTAAATTAAATTACAAATTACAAACAGCCCAAAACTAAACTAAATGTATACTTCCAAAATGTTCCTAATAAGAATGAGGAAGGTGATTCCCTATTTAGTGCCTTATTCTATCATTCTTTTCCAGGTTAGAATTTTTGATCTGTATGAGTGTACAACAGAACTCCCAAACTATGAAACACGCAGTAATATCTCTTAAACACTGGTTTCAGTCACAGAAATTAGTAGCTTACGACGTTTTAAGAAATGTCCCAGAATAGCCACAACCAAGCCATACCCCTAAAGTGACTTTCTTTGGCCATTTGAAATATTAGGCGGTATTCTTACGGTTATCACCTGTTACTGCAGAATTGTCAAGACTCTGCAGGAGCCTCCTGTGTGCGATTTAAGATCAATTTACAGAGAAGGGGATAAAAACTTGTAAAGCAACTTCATATCTTGTTGAAAATGAAACCATTTTTGTAATGCAGGCTGTGGCTCGGAATGCACAGACAGAAAAAAAAAGTAGTTTAACTCCTCAATGGCATAGAATTGAGCAATAAAACTGCAGGGGCATACTCTACACACCAAAAAACTGCTTCATTAACCTAAAGTTGTTTTGGGGCCTATGATGTTCCTTTAATGCTTTCACAAACACAAATAACACAGTGAAGCTGGTGCACAAACACTATGTGAAAGCTGAAGAGACACTAAGCACCAAAACAACTTTAACTTAATAATGTAGTTTGGGTGTTGGGATCGTGCCACTGCAGTCTCACTGCTCAATTCTCTGCTATTTAGAAATTAAATCACTTTGTTTATGCATCCATAGCCACTCTCCTTTGGCTGAGACTCACACAGTCATCCTACACACTTACTGAAAAACAGCTTACATTATTTAGTTTCCTTTATTGCACAGCATGTTTACTTTAGAGTTTCTAATCTCCTGTTCTGTTAATAACCTGCTAGAGACTGCAACAGCCTCTTGTGTACGATAGAGGTTTATTTAACAAGGCAGCACATAAGAAAATATAATGTAAACACACTGTGCTATAAGAGCTGATTACAAATGACACCGTTTTTATGCAGACTGTGTGAGTCACAGCCATGGGAGGTGTGGCTAGGATGGCATTAACAGAAGCAAAAGTGATTTAACTCCTAAATGGTAAGTTGGTTTGGTACTTAGAGAATCCCTTTAATTTGTTATTTGCTGTGCTCCATAAATAAACTATATAGTGCATGATGTAAGTGCCTTTTACTATGGGATATTGTATATAAGGACTGATTGAATAATTGGCTCAGTATCCTGAATGATTTGCTTCTTCCCTGCAAAGTATTATTTAATAAATATTTTTTTTAATAAAAGTATTATTAAATATGAGGATAGTGTGTAAAAGAAACTATTACTGACAACTAAAAATGTCTGCAATTTTACATGGCTACTCAAAGATAATAAGAGAGACTAAAGCATACCTCTCAACAATCCCATAACTGGAGGGATATTCATGACCTGAGAAATTTATACTGCCATATCAGAGTGAAAGATGGGTAGTCACAGGTAGTCGGTATTCGAATGGTATAAAAGGGGGGACCACACCTGCTCCATTCGGTCCACGAACAAGGGGGTACGGATCAATTCATGAAATATTGAGATAGGAACTGGAAAACGAAGGGAATAATACAGAGTCCCCCACAACTCCCTTCAATGGACCATTGCAGAACATCTCTGTGCTTATCAGAGTATTTCTGGAGTACTCTGCACATGGGCAGTCCTAGTTGGCTGGATGGCAGCACTTGGTGACAACCAGCACATTGCATAAAAACCAGATGGCACTGCATGACAACTGGGTGCACATCTACTCTGTACTGACAAGGTTCCTTTTCACCCACATTGCCACTATATGACAGTGATGATGTTTATTGCATCACTGGCATGCGCTCTCTCTGCCCCTTTTTCAAAATGATGGGTGAGCTGACCAACTTCCACAATTTAGACCAAAATAACCTTGTTTAAATCTTTTTTTTCTTTAGAATGCCTGATATGTATTCAGTTTCATGAGGTCTAAAACAACTCATTTCCTCTCACATATACATGAATAAAGCTTCTAATCAATAGTAATCAAAATCTATACTCAAAACAGCGTGGGCAATGGATGGATGGATGAGTGGACAGATGGATGGATGAATGGGTGAGGGGATGAGTAGATAGATAGATGGTTGAATGGATGGATGGATGGATGGATCGATCGATGGGTGGATGAGTAGATAGATAGATAGATGTTGAATGGATGGATGGATGGATGGATGGGTGGGTGGATTGATGAGTGGATGGCTGGATCTTTGACCAATGAATGCTTACATTTGTATTATCTTGCTTTATTTACACAATAGCCCAAGCCATCATTTTGCAATTTAAGGAAGTTACCAATGATTACAAAAGTTTTACATATGTCTACATGGAATTCCAGGATATGTGTCAAGATCTTTGCCAGTAAACTGAGCCCGCCTTTTTTGTTTTCTTTAAAGAATGTGTGTACAAACTCCAAGTGACCTTGCTCAGCTTAAGAGTAAAAAGTTGCCTAACCGGGTCGAGTTTCTGGGAACTGACAATTTCCGAAAAGTGTTCATATTTGTTTCCTTTCTTCATATATTATCAGCTTTCTCTATAGCAAATATTGAGAAGAACATTTTGTTGTCTTTGTGATCTCATTCCTTTCTCGTTTAATAAAGGGAAGTGTTTTTATGTAACCAGCATACTATCCATTTTAAACTAAACTGACCGTACATTATCACTTTCTCTAGTTTTGCAGAGAACTCTCCATTCATGACCTTAATGATGACAATATATAATGGGTTACAACCATTACATTTTTTTACAGTATTTGAAGAATGGTAGCTTATCAAACTGCTCAATTGGTTACTGCACCAACGACGCCTGTTCTAAATTCAGTGCCATTGATCGTAACACATCAGGACCCACTCATCAGGACCCACACATCAAGCCATTTATCATATTGATGGTGATTATATGTTACTGAATTCAGTAACACAGGCCCTGGGTCATGTTGGGGGAGACTGTTGTAATTGACAAGGTATGAGAATTATAAATGCATGTAAGCAAAGTGTTGAATCTATAGACTAAGCAAAGTAGGGAAAGAGTAGGGAAAGATGTGCTGGAACATATGGAATAAGCAAATGTTTATATATTTATTTTTAAGGGTAACTTTGGAACATGTGTGGGGAAATAGGAGGCAAAAGAAGGAGAAACGGTAGCGCAGTCAAGGGACAGACAGCACTCGGGCATTAAGGTCACACCAATTGGTTACTTTTTCTTACTTGATCTGTGAACCAAATGGTGGGAAAATGTGCCTCTAAGTTTACTGCAAAATATATAGATTATATTTATGTTATTATATATTTTGTAGTACACTTATTGCTCCTTTTTTTCACCCTTCTGGTTTGTCTATTCATTTTCTGAATTGTTTTTCATTAAAGGACCACTATTGTGCCAGGAAAACAATCTCGTTTTCCTGGCACTATAGGGCCCTGAGGGTGCCCCCACCCTCAGGGTCCCACTCCCGCCGAGCTGAAGGGGGAGGAAGGGGGTTAAACACTCACCTTTCTCCAGCGCCGGGCTCCCTCGGCGCTGAGGACACTCCTCCTCCTTCGGTCGTCATTGGCTGAATGCGCATGCTCAATTCTCAATGCTTTCCTATGGACACTGATGTCTTCTCACTGTGAAAATCACAGTGAGAAGCACGGAAGCGCCTCTAACGGCTGTCAATGAGACAGCAACTAGAGGCTTGAGTAACCCTAAAGTAAACATAGCAGTTTCTCTGAAACTGCTATTTTTACAGCAGTCAGAGTTAATCCTAGAGGGACCTGGCACCCAGACCACTTCATTGAGCTGAAGTGGTCTGGGTGCCTATAGTGGTCCTTTAACAAAATTCAGATACTCCCAACATCCCATGGTCTGGGATGGCAGGACAAGGTACTACACAAATTCATGCAGAAATCTGGCCTGATTGATGCATGGTGGGCTCAACCTGTGACTACACCTTTTATTCGTGCCTCACAAGACTCCAGAATTGATCTCTCCCTGGTTAATCCTTTTTTAATGTGGGCTGTTTCATCCATGAAGACAGGCTCCATCACTTGGTCCGACCACACAGACATCACTCTTACGTTGAGTTCAGCTGCCACTGTGTCTTTCCTTGGTGTTGGAGACTAAACACTTCCCTAATATGTGACAAACAAATAGTTGAGGAATCCTCAAAGGGAATTTCAACTTTTTTTTCCAGGAGAACTTAACCCTGGAAGTTTCTCTCCCACAGTGTGGTCAGCCCATAAGATTTCAACAAAGTGGAAACCCACAAGAAATGCATTAAACACAAAAAACTACCAGAGTAAATTATAAAATATTCACAAGAAGCTCCCTCCCCACAGGTCCTTGCCCAGCTGTAGGCAGTCCAACACAACAACTTAAGGAGTTGCTGTTGGATGACGTAGCGCAACAATTGGTCTGTTCCAGGAGTTTGTTCTAAGAAAGGAGTAACAAAATAGACTTCCTGCTGACAAGAGGCATCAGGCCTCAACCACACCAACAACCTAAACCATCAATTAAGAATGCAAATGGGATGACAGTCTCAACTTCAAAGGCAATCCTTTGGGCTTTCCAAACGTTCTATGTTAAACTGTATAACCACTCCCTGGATAAGACAATAACCAACCCATCATATATGACGGACCTATGGACCTCCCTGGCCTACCTGCGACTCCCACCACTGCTGGCCAATGCGGCTGTCACCCTGGACTCCGACTTCACGCTCTAGGAAGTCCAAATGGCCATTTTCAGACCTAAAAAGTGCTTAAACTCCAGGTCTTTAGGCCTTTAGCAGAGGGTACTATAATCTTAAGCGAAGTCCTCACTCCCCACTAACCCTTTTTAATGAGGTCAAGAGGAGTGACTCGTTCACTGATGAAACCAAACTTGCAAATATCACTCTCCTTCGAAGGAAGGAAAACCAGCCGAGGAGGTGGGCAACTATTGCTCAATATCCCTCAATACTGACGCAAAATTATTTACAAGCGTGTTGGTTGCATGGATAAAAACCATATATGCGAAAACTGATCCATCCCGATCAGGTGGGCTTCATCAAGGAGAGGCAACTCTTTGAAAACACGCAACAGGTGGCGGGTCTGCTATGGTTGACAGCGGGTTCTGAGACGCCTTTTCTGTTCCTTTCTCTGGAAGCAGAGAAGACGTTTAACCGCATCCTCTGGCCATACCTGTTTGAACTATTAGATAGCTGGGAGTTCCCTAACTGTTTCACTGGAACTCTTTAAAAACTTATATATAAGTCTCCTAAGGCACAGGTCCTTATACCCTGGCCTCTTCTTCCCCTTTTGAACTGACAAATGGGACCTATCAGGGATACCCACTGTCTGAGCTCTTAATCTCTCTATCTCTTGAGCCTCTGTTCCACCTCCTCCACAAACACCCAGACATACAAGAAATTCCTATAGCTAGACAAAACTATAAGGTCTGCGCATACGCAGACAATGTTTTATTTGCCTTAACATATTCCAAAGAGTTTTATCCCTCGATAATAGACCTACTAAGACAGTTTGGATCACTGTCAGGGTACAACATTAACCTTGACAAGTCTTGTGCTATGCCCTTCCATATGGGGGCCAGGACGTGGTGCTGCTCCAGTCACGATATGAACTGAAACTCCAGACAAACATCTACTGATACCTCTGTGTCCAACTGACCTTAAACCCGTCCCAACTAAGCCTTGTGAATTACAATTTAATAACCCACAATCATAAAGCAGACTTAGACTCTGAACTACCAAACTCATTTTATGGATAATCCATGCCATCAAAATGAATGTCTTACCATGAATTCTTTTTTATTTTCAAGCCTTAATCGTCCTACTCTCCAAACAGACAACCATAGGCGATTTCATCAGGCGAGGGAAAAGGAACATAATTTCCAGTTTTGTACTTTACCCTCAGACCTAGAGAAGGGCTAAGCCTACCTAACTACAAGTAAGGATACAGATAGGACCATGACCTTCTTTGAAGGTTTATGTGATGCAGAGATGGGAGGGAGAGGATTGACCTCTATCATATACAACTCCATTAGCTCTGAATCCACAGGATGGGGTGACTTGAAATACGCGAACCAGTGGAAGGTAGAGTTGGCATAGCTTCAGGGCATAGTGTGGCAGGACATATGGGAGGCTACTAGCAAAGTGTCTATCAGTGTTGGGTTACAGGAACAGGCCGTAAAATCTATGTCATGCTGGTACACTACTCTGACCAAACTACATTGCATGAGCAGAGGTGCTTCTGACCTATGTTAGCAAAATGTCGGGGAGAGGGGCACCTACGTCCATATGTGGTGGCATGAGAGAAATTCAATACATTCGGGGGCAGGTAAAAGCCCTACTAGCCAGGATATTTAAGAGACCAATCGACCTGTACCTTTGGGCCTTGTTAGATAGGTCGGAAGATGGGACGACTGCTCGATTTAAAAAATTGATGAATAAAATCACACTGGCAGCCAGAAAAGCGATAGCACAGAAGTGGATCGACACCACAATACCTACTCTGACAGAGGTGATGCAAAGAATTGAGGAAAACTCTATCTCATGGACAAACTGACAGCAATAGTACACAACACCACCCAGTCCTTTAAAAAGCTGTGGAAGCCTTGGACAGACTTGGGAAGGGTGGTCAGCAGTCTTGAGGCGGGGCGCTGGCAGGAGAGGGAGGTAGTTTGCCTTGAAGGCCTAATTTGCAATAAAACTAGCAACAGAGTGGAAGCTGATGACAAGCTTTAAGTTCGACGTATTTTTTTGTTTTGTTTTGGTTGTTTTAATATAATGAAAACAAACAGTCTTGCAGCACCCCTATGGCAGGATGCAATAAAAACTGAAGTCGTAACTAACAAAAGCGATGGTAATATGATTATGTCTACTCTGCCATGTATATTGCTCCAGTCTAATGGTACCTGTACCCTGCTATTCTTTGACCATGTTTATCAAATGTCAGACCAGTCAATTCTCTTTTACATAAAATAAAGAGTTAAAAAAAACTAAATTCAGACGAGCCAAACCATTAAGACCAATATTCAGCCATCCCAATTTTTATTTTTTTTCGAACAAAGCTGTTTAGCTGAAACTGAAACAATGATTTTTACCATGCACAAGTATACTGTTGATGCTGTTATAAGAGCAGAGGTACCAAAGATAGTTGGAAGGCATTGCCAGTTACAGAGGTATACTTGGAGTTATGTTAATATTTATTCCACGTTTCTTCTAGTGTTTTGTGCTTGGTGCTGCAGACAGTTGGGACATTTAATATATATATATATACACTGCTCAAAAAAATAAAGGGAACACTTAAACAACACAATGTAACTCCAAGTCAATCACACTTCTGTGAAATCAAACTGTCCACTTAGGAAGCAATACTGAGTGACAATCAATTTCACATGCTGTTGCGCAAATGGGATAGACAACATGTGGAAATTATAGGCAATTAGCAAGACACCCCCAATAAAGGAGTGGTTCTGCAGGTGGTGACCACAGACCACTTCTCAGTTCCTATGCTTCCTGGCTCATGTTTTGGTCACTTTTGAATGCTGGCGGTGCTTTTACTCCAAATCCAGACCTCCATGGGTTGAAAAATTTGATTTCCATTTTTTTATTTTTGTGTGATTTTGTAAAGAACAAAGTATTTCAGAAGAATATTTAATTTATTCAGATCTAGGATTGTTATTTTTGTGTTCCCTTTATTTTTTTTAACGGTGTATATACATTCAATTATGTATATATTTTTTAATTAGTTTACTTCATTGTTATCTATCAAAAGCCTGTAAATATTAATTTTGCTAGTTGCTTGTCAGCTCAATACAACTCACTATTTAGTGCATACGTCCCAGTTTGCACTCGTGATCATATCTAAGATTATCATTATATAGGAACCTTACTCGCCATATTGCATGCTCATATATTGTGACAAATGAAATATTTTATCAATGTTTACATTGTGAAAAGTAATTTCAACTGAAAAAAATAGATCGAATCTAAAGATCCTGAAACACACTTCTCCAGAAAACCTACTTCTACGAAACTGTTATGAGACTGCCTTATGTGTGTCATGTTCCCCATTCAAGTTACTTGGAAATAGGGCTGTGGTGCTGAACTATTTCTGCTTTCGAGTTTATCTCAGATTCCGCGCCTTGTGGTTTGTTTCTTCGGAAACTGCTGCGTATGTCAAGACAGAAAAAAAGTTTATTCAGAACTCTATCAGTGAGGTACCCAGAATGGAATTCCAGCTATCATTAACTATTTTCCACTGTAGGAAAGAAAGAAAGAAAGAAAGAAAGAAAGTGAAATAAACTAGGTTGAATGCTTAAAATACACAATCAAATTTAATAAAAAAATGTAATGCTCAAAATCACAAATATTGACATGTATGCGTGTATGCGTGTACTGAATTAGGAATTAGGTTGAATGAATTGTGACCGAATAAGCTTAAAGGGAAACTATAGTGACAGGAAAACAGTGTAGTGTCCCTTTCCATCAAGCCCCCTCCCCTTCTGTCACCTACCTGAGTCCAATGGCGATTTCCGCGGGTGCTGGTACTGACTCAGCCACTACTCCTCCCCGGTCGTGCTCGCATTAGTATTTACCCCATAGGAAAGCATGCATAATGCTTTCCTGTGGGGTTTTACATGATGTTGGAAATAAAAATGCATAGCGTGAGGACGTCCAGAGTCAGTTAAAAACTGAAATAATTACCTTTGCAAGGTTAAGAGACCTGGGACACTGCACCTAGACCACTTACATGAAATGGTACTTATAGTGTCCCTTTAACACATGATGGAAATATTCCGTCATGATTCCCTTTTATTCCAGAAGTTGTGTCTTTAAGGGGTTAATTAAAGGGAGGCGAAAATTAAACTATGTATAAATATAATGCATACATTTTGTAGCACAGTGATAGGCTTATTTTTCACGCCTTCTTGAATTTTCTGAAAAGGTGTTCCTGAATCATTTGCATGGACAAAATTTGGGCAAGCCAAAGCACTCAGTCAACCAAATTCAGTTTATTTATCTTTTTGGCCAAATTGATTTGACTCAACTGAATTTTCACAAGTATATATATATATTGCCATTATACCACTAAATTAATGGTGCAGATAAATGCAAGGAATAGGGAGTGAAAACAAGAGTGACCAGTTTATGTAATATTATTAATACATTGTACAACAGGCTGCAGTTTACCATCGTGCACAGCCTACAGCATTAATATTGATTTTTGTAGGCTGTGCAGAACAGTTTTTTTGTTTTGTTTTGTTTTTTTCTTTCCTAATAGTTTCATTTATCAAGAAAAGGAAGAATTCAGTTTCACGCATCACGCATCAGACAGCTGTCCCCAGCCAATTGAAAATTAAGGAACAGGTATGGTTTCTATGTTTCTACACAGGACAAAAATAAAGAACAAAAGTGATAGTAATGGAACTATTCATTATACACAAGTCTGTACTCATAACAAAAAGGTCATATTCCGACTCAGTAGATACTGTGTTACCCAACACCGAGTCAGTTGTATAACTAAACCAAACACAATTTAAGATTATGTATCTGCAGATTGTAAACAATATATTTTGTATTTGTCCCATTCTGTATAATATTTTAATGCTTGATGGAGATGCAATACCTGTTGACCAGGAAGTAGCTGATAATTCTCTGTTAATCAAGATAATACATTTGTTGAGGATATGAGAATTTAACATACCTGTTAAGCTGCAGCCAAGCAACATTTATGGCAAATATAGTGTTTAACAAACATTTTGTAGTGTTCTGGACACCACAAAAGCTAACCAAAAGATAAAGCAAATTGCAGTTTGGACTGAAACCAATGTCTAAGTCTACCCAAGAACATTCTTCCTCCTTCACTAAATTTTACTGTTGGCCCTATGCAGTCAGTAAGTAGTATTCTACCCGACATCCTTCAAATCTACAATTATCCATTAGAATAAGTTTCAATTGTTCAATGGTGGCATGCTTTAAGCCATGCATGGTGATCTGAGTCAGTTTGAACCTACACATGTTAGTTCTACAACCTAAATGATACAATCTACATATTTCAGGGCTTGCCAATCTTATTCCGTGATCTTGCATGGCCTACAACTTCTCAATTTAGTCTATTGGTGCTACTTTCTTCACCAATACAGCATTTAAAATTGACTAGTAAGTCTTGCGGGGCAGAAATTTGACCAACTATTTTTGTGGTGGTTTACCATTACCGATGCCATGGTAGACACTGAGCTTTGCAGTATGGACCGTAATTATACTTATTTATTGGAGATTATAAGGAAAATGAAATAAAAGTGAAATAGCTATTGTCTTATTATTTTGGGGGGATGAGTTATCTGTGTAAGTAGTGGTACTTTTAACGGGGCAAGTATATTAACAAAACAAAATTTTCAGGTGATTCAAGTTCATGTTATTTGACCAAACTTAAACTACCAGAAATAAATGTATTTATTTTTTCTTCCATTAATCAATGTGCAATTTTGGTGACCAGTTTCAAAAAGGACATGATGGAACTGGAAAAAGTGCAGGGGAGGACTGTGGGCCGAACATAATCAAACAGGAGAGAGTACAGCAAGTAGATGGGACAACAAGAAAGAATGGCAAGTATGGAGGTATAAATTAAGGAATGTTTATGGTAGGGTAGGTGGGTTGGCATAGTACGCAATTCTTGTTGGTCAGATTGGATTGGTATTCTCAGTTTGTAGCCCTTAAATGCCAGGGCGTAAGCAATGTTTTAAGAGAAATGTTGGTATTTAACACTAACGTTTAAGAGTGGTCAGTACAGTAAGGAATTCAAAGGCTTGATCTAAGTAGAGCTCTGTAGTGGGTTATTAGAACCAACAGATTTTACTAGAACATCTCAAATGTTGCAGCCAGAGAGAGATTCCGTTTGGACAGAGTCCATTCCCCTTGGCTAAAGCAGTGAAAGTAACACTGTGTGCACTGTACCAGCCAATTCACAGTTTCCAACGGGTGCGGTAAACTGCCTGTCTGCAAGCTGTCTCCTCTAACCAAAGAAATACTCAGACCATGTATTAACTCTTTGGGGGTGGTAGGCTTGGGTCGGTTCCCAGTATTTTAATATTTCACATATATCATACTGCTTCGCACTGTATATGTTACATGTGCATCAGTAAATAACTTGGCCCCTGTTATACACAGGCTAAATTTTATTTTTGTTTTGATAGAAAATTTGTTTAATATCTGGCATTGATTGACTTTTTTTGAGAGGCTAGGAATAATCTTCGCTAACATATTTATATTGTAACATTTAACTTAATCTTCCAGTAGAGTAGGGTCAAAGTTGATCATCTAATAATGCCTATTTTCTCAATGCTCCACTTGCAAGTCACATGCAGTTTGCAGAGCCTTCACAATAAGCTGCATTAGACACCCTGAGTGACAGCCATGAGGTGGGTGCATGCTGCACTCCTCTATTAGCTTTGCATTGGCTCAAAAAGTAGCACAGAGGAGAAGTATAGATATAGTATGGCAGCTTGGTGTGTTCAGCCTGCACGTGAGTGGAAGGGGTGAAAATTTAACATCCTCTACTGAAAGATGTCATGCCGAGCTGGCAAACCAGACAGAGGTGGAATTAGGGTGGTGGAGGGACATACACACAACAGAATGGGTGGCAGAAAAATCACAAATAAAAAAAGATTAATGTAATTAATTATGTGAAGAATCTAGGGAAGAGGATGGCGAGACAGG